GTGTATGTTGACTGATCGTTGTAACGTGCCTGTCCTGATCGATTTCTTTGCAGGACTGCGAATGACAAAGCGTCTGATACGGGCGCCGCGAATAGCGTCAAGGGGTACATGTCGTTCTTGTTGTTTTCGGTTGCCGCGCTCGCATGTACGTCTCGTCCCATTCCTTCTCTACCTTTCTGACTCTTGTCCGTTTTAGTTGTGAGGTTTGTGGGAGCGACGACGTATTTGATCATTCGTCTGTTTGCTGGAGAGTAGAGTAGGAGTAGACTGGGGGAGAGGGTTTCTTTTTCGCTGTGTTGGTATTTGACGAACCTTGTTTGACTGACGACCTATTTATGTCTTAATGTACGTGTGCTTGGCCATGGAAAGAGTGTTCGTGTGACGAGGTTAGGTAGGTATGTGTGCGTGTATTGTTCTTTCAGGCCGGCGCGCGAGTTAGGAAGCATTACTCTTGAGAGGACAATTGGAGAAGGTACGTTATAGTAGTATGTCCGGTCTAGGACTGACATCAGCTTGTCTTCATTGCAGTCCGTATGATGAATCACCAATACTCAAAGTTACGGGGACGGTCTCCATCGCGGTTGATCCATTCGCCCCGCTGTTCAACCAAGACGCAGCAGACGTCCGCTGAAGTTGTAACAAGGCATTTGTCAAACCCGGCTTTCTCGACTGAGTAAAACATCCACCCCCTTGTTCCTTCCTTTCTTCTTCCCGTGTGCAGGTATCTCTTATCTTTCGCTATGCTGAATTTTTACTCTTGGGACAAAGTAATAGCAATTTGAGGCTCGGCGCGGGATACCAAGCTTAGTGGATCGAGCGAGCGCTCGACGAGGTGTCAACCCTCCGTCCTCGGCGCATCGAATTGGATAATAAACGATCATTCCAGAAGCATGGGATGTCATCATACTTCAATGGTACCCACATCCCTTACTCTGCCTTTCACCTCATGATCTCCGAGCGGGAGCCTCATTCAATTCATCCCAATCTGCGCTTTTGTCGTGGCGGTCTCAACAACCCGTCATGCAGTCTTGTGCCGCTATATAAAACCCACCCTGTTAATCCTAATCCTCCGGATTCCATAATGAAAATGAAGTTCTTCGCCTTCTCCACAATGGTTTTTGCTGGAGTCTTCATATCACCTACGCCATGCCAAACATTCTCTTCCACTGAGGAAAATCTTCTCTCTTCAAAATTTACCGCCCTCTTGGTCTGATTTTATATAGCCTTTCAATCTCACGTGGGTCTCTGGGGAGTACTTTGAAGAAAACTCCGTGAACATTACCGTCCTCCTTGCGCGGAGCCCATTTGCCAGCACTCTCAGCAGGGTAACGTTGGTTCAGGGCCTCGTCTCTCTCGATACAGGAATCGTGACGTACTCCGCTGAGCTGCTACCACAATATTTCTATGGGATCAACACAACAGGGGCATTTGATGTGGTGATTCTTGAGACCTACTTTGCGTCTTCGGTAAGCAAAAGTGTTTTTCTTGGGTAGTGCGTGAGACTCATATGTTGTCAAGCATATAAATCATACACTTGATGTGTGGATCCAAACAGTCAACTTCGTTTGATGCTGTAGGATTTTCAAGTAATGTGATTTCAACGTTATTTTGGACGTATCAAGTTTCTATGCTTTGACAATACCGACCATGAAGATATATTATTGTTCTTGGTAAAATTTGTCTGCTGGGCTTGTTTGCGCGTCGTTCTAACTTGATGCCTTAGAATTCAAAGTCAAGGGAACTGATGTTGCGTGTACGCCTCGAACTCAGGCATAAGTCAAATAAAAGCCATGATTGAAGACAGCGACAGATTCCAAAACCGCGTATCCAAAGTACATAGAATACAAGTACATCTAGTACATCATAAAACACTATAGAATCTTCTAGTTGCCGTTCTCATGTTCCGCATTCTGCAAACTCCCAACCACCTTGGCGCAGATCATAACCACGACTGCTTCTGCTGCGACTGGCTCCCTCCAAACTCATACTTTCCCGCCAAGTCAGCGAGAGCTTTGTCCTCCTTCCTCGATGGTGCCTTTTTGGAGGCGGCCTGTGTAGTATTAGGCTCGGGGTTGGGGGAGGGCGCGTTCCCACCAAACCCGTATTTAGACTGGAGATCTGCGAATGCAGAAGCGTAGTCCTTCTTGGGGACAAGAGTCTGGGTGGATGAGACCGTGGTGGTCGACGAGTTGTTTGTGTTCGACGGGTAAGAAGACATATTGAGAGCGACGAAGAAGTATAGCGCTGCTTGTAACTTGAATGTGTTTGAAGAGATAATTCTCTGAGTTTGAGAAGCAAAATGCAGGATACTTTTATAGATGGTCATACCCGTCTTGATGGAGCTGAGAAACGAGTCATAGTACAGCGATGCTGCGATATTGTGCTGCGCTCCCTACCGCCCAAGAGCACTTCAATACGAGTCACAGAAAGGATACCCGTGATGGCGGGCTGCGCGCAGATTACAGGCGAATACCACCAGGGAGCTTGGATGGGTGCTGCGCACGACGAGCGCCAGGAATTCAGGCAAGGAACCGCAGCATATAGAGCACAAGCTTGAATGCTCATGGTGTATCGAAAAGCTTAGTGTGCATCGGAATCCAGGTAGATAGCGATCTGGCCAACCGTGCAAGGCCACTGCGCAGTGCAGCTGACGAGTGAACTTGAAAGTAGAGTGAAGGCGGCAGTTGGCAATAATGTGACACACGCGCTTTGACACCGCCACATCCACGTGTGCATTGATTTCGAATTGCATGCCCGCTACTGCCGACATCTCTTCTCGTAAGTAAGTACCGAGTGGTGAGCTTAGGCTCACAGTTGGGGCAGCCATATCTATCCAGATTATTCCCCGTATTTGAAGCTCTGCATGGGTACCCAGTAATCCGACTTTGATGGTGTAAACAGTGGATCCGGCCAGCGCGACGTACACTAGGTTTTCATGACCCTCCGCATTACGCATTTGTCCAACTTTCGGCCGTCAAGCGACCTTGACTTCGAGATCTTACTGGCATAGGACGTCTATGATCATACTCTGAAGGCGCCCAGTCGTGGTCACGGTCGCCGCTTCCGTGATCTGGCTCTCTGGCTTTCCATTATTACAGCTACAGTGGCACCAGGACTGATATACATTCATCTTTATTGCAGTCAGTGCATACGATCAATCACCTCGCAACCTCTATTCCGCATATATATATTTGGCTGTATCTCGGTCTTACCAGGCTCATCGCGGTTACAAACATGTCCCATTCTCTCCACTTTTCTTGGCTGCTCGATCATCGAAATCAATACCTCTGATCCAAGCCCTAATGACCACCTGCGAAATTTCAAGAATATGCTAAAGACGTAGTACCGTCAAGACAAAAGCGCATTCCTCAGACTCCGGCTGTACGTCCCCTTCCAAAACAAATTTAAACAACACATCCCTGTTGGATTCGTCCATTCCTTTTATCGACGTTCCTTCTTGCAGGTATCGCTTACCTTCCCATTACCTAGTAGACTTCGCTGTCCAGGACATAGTCGGGGCAGGCATTTCAGATCACAAATGTACGATTCGTTCAGCTCAAGGACGTAGGCATAGGCGCTAGCACGACGCACTAGATCTCGTTCCAGGTGCTGGCCCACTTTCAACCAAACTCACGTCCAACATCCAGCCATCAGAACGAACTTGAATCAGATAATTTTTATCCCAGTGGGAACGCAATCATACTTCGACGGCACTCGCATCCCCCAACAACGCCAAGAAAAATCCATGTCTGGAATCACGAGAGAGAAAGTCTTGACGTCCAGGCCTGAGCGTCAACACGGTCGAGGGCCTCTCTTCTGATATCTTGTTCGTCCTAGCCTGAGATGAATTCCGTTTCTCCCGGCGGTCTCGACAAGCCGTGATGTAGTCTCGTACCGCTATATAAGCCCTGCCCGCTCATCCCAATCCCCCCGGTCCACGGCGAAAATGAAGTCCTTCGCCCTTCTCTGCACCCTCCCTGCCCTCGTCCTCTCCACATTGGTTTCCGCCGGAGTCTTCATCTCTCCAACCACAAACCAAACACTCTCTTCCACCTCGGTGAATATCCTCTCTCCAAATTTGACCGTCTTCCCAGCCTGATGACCGGACGCAGCCTTTCAACCTCACATGGGTCTCCGGGAAGTACTTTGAAGAAAACTCCGTGAACATCACCGTCCTCCTCGCGCGGAGCCCATTCGCCAGTACCCTCAGCGGGGTAACGCTGGTCCAGGGCCTCGTCTCTCCCGATGCGGGCATTTTGACGTACTCCGCTGAGCTGCTACCGCAGTATTTCTATGGGGTCGACATAACGGGGGCGTATGATGTAGTGATCCTCGAGACCTACCTTGCGTATTCGGTGAGTGATCAAAGTTCGCTTCCCTGAGAAGTGCATGTGATTCATATCCGTCGCGTCAAGCACTTAAACTACGCCATTGATGTGTGGACCCAAACAGTCAACTTCGTTTGATGCCGTGGTTTTCTATAATTCAATTTCAATGTTGGTTTGGACATACCTATCTACTATGCTTTGACAATACCGACGATGAAGATATATCGTTCTTAGTCTTTCGTTGATCCAGTTTGATACGTCATACATCAGAATCTAATTCCAAGGGATATAAATATACCTCGGTATGTTTTCTAATCCTCCAATTATCCTCAGGTTGGACATCCCGTTTGCATCCTGTATGTAGACGGCAATAAGCACAATTAATTCTTATTTTGCTTCGTCCTACTTTACTCTTGTCAATGGCCCTCTACAAGCAATGCAACAAGTCAACATGATGGACGTATTGATCAGCTGGAAGCAAGGTGATAAGCAAGAACGACACGTCTTATTAGACGTGTCAGAAGATAATTTAAGCAGATTTAAAGGCAAGACTTTAGCAAGTGATAATACTGTGTAGCAGACACCAGGTTACTAATAAAGTAACAAGTTCTTAAATCGCTGATTCCTGAATCCTGAATCTTGAAAGCTTCAAAAAGGTGAAGGCTTAACGCATTCGGATACGGGGAATCGAACCCCGAGCTGCCGCGCCATTCAGTCTAGCACCATATGAAAGGCGGCAATGTTAGCCGTTACACCATATCCGATATTGGTGATTTCTCTCAGAGTGAGGATTTCAGGAAAGGAGGAAGCTTGATCTCCGTAATCGAGCAGGGATGGTGGCGGTAGAAACGGTTACCTTCGTAAGTGGCGAGGAAGTTGCAGGATTTGGGGCAGTCTTTTTCTCCGATGGTCCTCGATGTCTTTGGGGTGAGAAGGGCCAGTTGGACCACCATCTTGGCCACGCGTATTGGTGCGATGATTTAGACGGCCACTACCCTTGAGGTGACTATTAAGGCAGATGCGCACAAGGTAGAATATGAACACCAAGCGTGTCGCATAAAATGAAGCGGTGAGACCCAAATTAGTCTTGATGCGAAAGACAAATTCAGGTTAAACGTGGCTGCGGAGCAATACCGGCCCTATCTGGGGCCCCGCTTGCTTCTGTCCATCATGGCGTCTCTCTTCCGCGCGTACAAGTCTGTCCTCCTTCCTCTCTCTCAGCTCCCCACTAAGCACATCACAGCGCGCTTCTCATCCGCCGGCCGATGCTCGCCCAGTGCGGCACCGCGGCCCTCCTCTTCGGCACCGGCGACATCATCGCCCAACAGCTCATCGAAAAGAAAGGCCTCCGACGGCACGACCTCACCCGCACCGTTCGGCTCACTTTCTACGGCGGCGCGCTCTTCGGGCCGGTGATGACATGGTGGTACCAGTTCCTCAACCGCATCCAGTTTGCCTCGCCGACCCGCGCCATCGTCTACCGCGTCTGGCTCGACCAGGCCGTGCTCACCCCCTTTGCCGTCGGCGCGTTCTTCACGTGCATGTCCGTGCTCGAGGGTGTCCCCCAAGAGGCGTACCCAAGGATCCAGGCCGCATACGTCCCGACCATCCTCCGCAATTGGGGCGTCTTCATACCCACTCAGATCATCAACTTTGCCCTCGTGCCCCACCATATGCGGTTTGTCGTCGTTAGTGTTGTTAGTTTATTCTGGAGTACGTGCAGTCTTTCTCTGCATGGACAGCTGCTGACTCGGCGGTAGACACGTACCTCAGTTCGGTGAATGCGCGTCAAGCCCAGTTGGAGCAGGAGGAGAAGGAAAACGAAAAGGTACCCATGAAGATGGTGTAGCCGTACGTTCCCTTTACCGCCGTCGTCGATGCGTATTCATCTTTCTCGCAGGGCATAGATTTGCTATAGAGCCTCCTAGATACGTCTATATATCCGCTATTATTTTTTTCACGTCCAAGCCAACGGCCTGGTTGTAACGTCAGATCGCATACGGCGCTCGGTCCCTCCTCGATACCCTTTTACCTTAGTATCCACTTGCCCCGTCCGGCTCGAAACAATCGTCCAGGTCGGATATGGTGTAACGGCTAAGATTGCTGCCTCATTGAAGATTTGCATGGATGAAAATACTACGCGGCAGCTCGGGATTCGATTTCCCGTATCCGAATTTTAAGAAAAGCGAAGGATTTTAGCTCTGACCTTGGACCCGTGCGATCTGCGCCCGGGGCAGAGTGACTTAGTTCGTTCCAATGATCATTGATGAATGCCTGGATATGGCGGTAACAGCATACAAAAATTCAAGCAGGCACAAGTTGCCATAATCCGATCGCAAGTGCTTCTTGTACGTGCGCAAGTTTAGGTCCCCCCCAAGTTAGGCGATTTTGTATGGATGTATATACACCAACATCAGTTACTACCATATATAATGGAATAAAATCTGGTGAGTGAGTCCGGAGCAGGACAAAATGCTTCGGCAGCGGGTCGGCATTATTCTGACACTGACTAGTCTTTCCTCCAATTCTATTATTGTGGTGGGCCCCATTCCTTCAGCCTCTGATGCATATGCTTTACCTATTCATCATCTCCATTTGATGAGATGAATTCATGTTTATTGTGCTTCAATGTTTGATGTCCAGATTCGATATCCTTGTTTGAAGGTATGTCAGTGCATGTCAATTGGCACGGCATCATCTTCCTCAACATCATCCAGACAATAGACTCTGGATTCAAATGCTCTATACCTTGCATGCCGCGAGCCCGTGAGATTGACTTGAAACTGAGTCAGAGGCTATAGCCTATGAGAATGAAAGTCTGATTTCTGGGGGACGAAGCTCCATAAATGCCCAGCTGAACGGTGTAAATGCCATACTCAAATATTACGGTGTATGTCTCCTCCCTGGCAGACTATCGCAAGACATACGCAAACAGCCAACTTGTGTATTAAAAAACCTCAACTTGGGAAAGGATTCCGGCAAACTTGTGCACTTGAAAGGTACTTGTGAGAGGATTATAGCAACTTGTGCCTGTCCTATTTTTTGTATGGCGGTAATAGCATACAAAAATTAAGACGGTCGCAAGCTGCTTATATGGTGATCGCAAGTGACTAATTTGGGACACAAGACCGCTGTCGAGAAAAGCCCAACAATGCGATCGTGTCCCCAACTTCGATGAGGACTTCCACCACACAAGTTTATGCACTTCTCTCCTGCTTCGCAAGTTTGATCCCTTTCCCTATGTTCGCAAGTTCGGTCCCTGGTGAAATGGGACTTTGACCTGCTATGTGACTCTCAATTGGTTTTAAAAAAAATAGTGATAACGGACCTCCATATAATGATAATCACCATCTGATAAGTTCTCTATTCACGTCTCTTCCTGGAATTCAGGCTCCATGGCATTCTGGCATCCCATTTTGCGTAGAGGACAACGTTGAGTCCCTACTGGAGATGCCAGAATGGAAGCAACATTAAACCCCAGCCGTGACGCGTGAACGCTTATCTCTTTTGCGGCTGCTCAGCGAGAGCTCATTTATGGGTATTCAACTAGCTATTGTCACTTCGTGCTCATTCTAATTTCTGACTGGATATACTCTTTCCCTCAGAGGAATGTCCCCTCCCAGAGCACCGTCTGTAGATCCTGGCAGAATGGTAAAGCCATGGTCAAATATTCCACATCAAATATTGAAAATTAGTCTAATGGAAATAGCTTTGGAGTCGGCAACAGTGCAAGTACGGATCCATTCAAGGTATTAGCTTCATTCTAATATTAATACTACTGCTGACATCTTATCTTAGCACATTCCCCAGTAACAAGAAGTGTGGATGAAGTGCGAGAGAATCCATTTTATGGCATCAATGGAGATATAAATGATAACTACTACCCCTTCGCTCCCCCAGAACACATAGGCGAAGAAGATAAAACTGAAGTCGCTCTGAACAACGACGGCGACATCGGGTTTGTGAAAGAATTAATGGGAGATTTCAATGTTGAGGTAGAGGATTCCAATCGGAGGATAGAAATATGTCACGAGGCAGTTGTTAGACTCATGGCAATCATTGACGAGTGTGCCGTAGCTTTTATGGATCATAACATACCTTATAAATACATAAATCCCCTTCGTTTGGGCTCCCGCAATTGGAAAATACATCATAATCACCGTCGTATGTAAAGAATGGAAACTCTGTTCCGAAGCTCGCGTATAGACTGCTGCCAGTGGACTTGAGTGGACGACCTTAAACTAGAGACATGCGAGAAATATGACTTACCAGCATGTGCTTTCTGTGGCGGAAAGTTGCGGAGTCCGGTCTGAACTTGGGGACTGGTCACCACAGATGAAACTTGGGAGGGAGCTATATCACTCAACTTGCAGAAGTAAAGGTAGCTTGCGACCGTATGGCGGTAATAGCATACAAAAAATAGAACAGGCACAAGTTGCTATAATTATCTCACAAGTACCTTTCAAGTGCGCAAGTTTGCCTGAATCCTCTCGCAAGTTAAGCTTTTTTAATACACAAGTTGGCTGTTTGCGATAGTCTGGGAAGGATACATATGCTGTAATATTTGAATATGGCATCTACGCCATTCGGAGCTTCGTCCCCCAGATATCAGACTTTCATTCTCATTTTATTCTCATAGGCTATGGCCTCTGACTCAGCTTCAAGTCAATCTCACGGGCTCGTGGCATGCAAGGCATAGAGCATTTGAATCCAGAGTCTATTGTCTGGATGATGATGAGGAAGATGATGCCGTGCCAATTGACATGCATACCTTCAAACATGGATATCAAATCTTGGCATCAAACATTGAAGGACAATAAACATGAATTCATCTCATCAAATGGAGATGATGAATAGGTAAAGCAGATGCATCAGACGCTGAAGGAATGGGGTCCACCACAATAATAGAATTGGAGGAAAGACTAGTAAGTGTCAGAATAATGCCGGCCCGCTGTCGAAGCATTTTGTCCTGCTCCGGACTCACTCACCAGATTTTATTCAATTATATCTGGTAGTAGCTGATACTGGTGTATATACATCCATAAAAAATAGCCTAACTTGTGGGGGGACATAAACTTGCGCACTTACAAGCAACATGTTAGACCCAGGTCTCACGTGATCCAAACAAGCGTAAACCCTAAGTCATATACCGGTGGACACCGATGACTAAGGTAGAGCTGTATCGATGGACTCGTTAAGGCGCGGCACTAAGTGCTAGTCGTTTGAGAGAGTAAGATTGGTATAGATAAACTATAGCTCAAAGCTGAGGTATTACAGCGAGAGTCGTACTACTTATATACTAAAGTCCTGGTGCTAATAATAAGTCCATTGGTAGGTGACCACGAGTGAACAACGAGTGAATGACAATATGTCGAGCGGTAACCTTGCGATGGAAGTGTGCCGTAGTAAGAGAACAGTAGTCGACGGTTATAGTCATGGGATTGGTGCGGCGAGATGGTGATAGGGATCAGATAGTAGTGATTAGATTAACGAAGATAAGCGCTTGGGTGCTTGGATGAGGAAAATCGGGAAAATGTGAATAAATCGTAACATTGCCCCCTCGTTAAGGCAGTCGTCCCGACTGCCATTAAGGTTTGTCTTCGGGGGTTTTGTTGTGGTGTAAGATTTCCCAATATTCCACGTACTTGTCGTCTGAGGTTACGATTTTGGCTATTTCTACGCGTCCGGCGTGCTGGACGCGTTGTTCATAGTCCTCTATTGCCTCTTGTGCGTGTTCCATTTCTGTTTCTCGTACCCACGAATTGTGTTCTCTTGTCCAGCCTTTCCATTTTATTAGATAGTCCGTTGTCGTTTTTGACCTTTGTCCCTTTTTTCCTCGTACTCGGCGTGTTCGGGAGTCTAGTACTTCCTCAATTTCGTATTCTTCTTCATCTTCGATCAGGTCTGGAGGAGGCGGAGGTGGTACTTCTTGATTTGGGAATGCGGGTGGTGTAAACGGTGTCAGCAGTTTTTCGTTGAATGTGGGGTGAATCTTCCAGTGTGGTGGGAGTTTCAGTTTGTATGCTGCTATCCCGACCTTGTTGAGGATTAGGAAGGGGCCGACTCGTTTGTCGTCTAGCTTTTTCTTTGGTCGTGGTAGGTTGAGATTGCGCGAGTCCAGCCATACCCGTTCTCCAGTGTTATATTCACGTGCCGGCTTGGTCTTCTTGTCGTATTGCTTTTTCATTGCGGCGGCGGCTTCGGTGAGGGCTTTTTGCGTTTCTTGATGGATCTTCATCATGGTAGCGGAGAAGTCCTGAGCGCTGGGGTTGTTGAACGGGGTTTCTCGAATTGATTCTGCTAGGAGTCGGGGGTGAATTCCATGGTTGACGAAGAATGGCGATTTGCCGGTTGCTGAGTGAACTCTGTTGTTGTGGGAGAATGCAACTAGGGGTAGCCATTCTGCCCAGTCCTCTTGTTGGTAGTCTATGAAGATTCGGAGATATTTGATAATCTCTTGGTTGGCCCGTTCCGTTTGACTGTCAGTCTGTGGGTGGAACGCCGTGGAGGCGTTCTGGGTGATGTCTAGCATTTTGTATACAGTCATGTACCGGTCAATGAGACACCGAAATTGGTACAGCCTCGGAATTGTTATAGATGCCCTAAATAAATTTATCAGACTTGATTAAAATTATATTTTGTGCATGAAATAGCACGTACATCATAAATATATGCACATCGGGCACGGGAAAGGTCATATCCACCCTTATCAGTGAAAAAATGCAAGATCAGTGCAATATGAGTCAATGAGACACGTCACGTCATGTTAGATATACCAAATACGGAACAAGATCAGATTTTAATCATCACCATCAGACGCTACATCAGACACGTCGTAATCACTCCGAGAGCCCCCTGACTCATTCTCACTGCACTCTGGACTCCCTCCATCATCGATACTGCCCTCCGTGGCATCCAATCCTTGCTGCGCAATGGCAGCATCCACAAAGGACTTCAATTTTGGCCTGCTTTTCTGCTTCTCAAGCTCGAAGTCAGCCAATTTAGGCTTCTTCCACCCCATCTTTCTTCCCTCAGTCTTTGCTTTGCTTTGCTCCGCTTCCCATGCAGCCACACGGTTTTGGTACTTCTCCTTCTTTCTCTCATTGATGTCCATGCGGTCCTCCTCCTGTTGCTTCCATTCCTTCATGGCAGCCTTATATCTCTTCGCTGCATC